GACACAACATCTTTGTTTGTATGTGGTGCTGAGGATCGAACCCGGGCCTCACGCATGCCAGGCAAGCGCGCTACAGCTTGAGCCACATCCCTAGCCCACCTTTTTTGTTTTTAAGATGGGATTTTGCTAAGATGCCAAGGCTTGTCTCAAAATTGGGATACTCCTGCCTCAGCCTCTGGAGTTGTTGGGATTACATACATTCACTGCTGTGCCTGGCACTTTAAGTGTTTTTGGACTTGTTAAGTTTGAGATTCTCACTATGTGGTCAAGTGTTTATGTCAAACATCCAATTAACTGTATAAGGCTAGAGGTCAGAGAAGAGGTTGAGCTAAAGGTATAAATCTGGAAGCCTAAGCATATGCAATGGTATATAAAGTTGAAGGAACTAAATGAGATTGTCTACAGAGTAAATTCAAATAGGGAAAAAGAGCTCTTAAGACTAATTCCATTCAATTACACCATAGATTATGCTATGGTAAATTTGAGACTATTTTTGTTTGATACTAAATACATATTTGAAATTATTTTGATATAAAGAAACTTATTATATCTAGCAAAATTTAGAAATTAAAAGAAAAACAAGTCAGAAAGTGAGACAGAGAAAAAAAAGAGTTAGAAAAAAAAAGAAAACCAGAAAAAGTTTGGTAGCCCAAGGCTAAGTGAAGCAAGCATTCCAAGGAGGAGTACTGGAGGAAGATCAGCTAGAGTTAAATACTACTAAAAGGTTGAGCAATAGGACCAAGAACTGATTAGTGGGTCTAGCAAGTTGGAGGTTGCTGGTAACATGAACATACACTAGAGCACACAGATACTGAGGGGGAGAAAAGTGGATGTGTCTGTGATGTGTCTTTTACCCTTTAAAGTAAAGACTTTTTATAAGGCACAACATTTTTAAAAAGTTTTTCAGTATGATCCCAATGTTTGTTGTCTGAATCTGGGAAAACAAATGTGCCCTTTCCAAGTTAATTCGGTGGTGTTTGTTGCTGAGACATGGGATACAAACTGGAAAGTTAGTGCAATATGCTAATTCCATATCAACATTATGGTATAGGAAGTGTGATCATTTATGTAGTTGAAATATTTGTAGATTATACTATAGTAAATCTGAGACTATTTTTGTTTGATACTAAATACAAATTATTTTCAAATTATTTTGATATAAAGAAACTTATTTTATCTAGAAGTTGGTGTTCAGTCCATCTACTCAGCCAGAGGCAACCAAATTTTGCTGATCTAGCTACAAGTATTCAAACTTTATATGCACAAACTGAACTGAATTAAAATTGGACAAAAGGAGACTACACTCACTTATCATAGTTGAACTGCTCCAATCTCGAGGGAATGAGTCCTTGCTGAAATTCAAAATTACAAAAAATATGCAAACTTTTGATGACCAGGACATGTGCTGAAAGTTTGTAACCATAATATTAAAAAATCCCATTAAACACAGTTTTCAGTTTACAAACTTGAATATCAACCTTCAGGATGGAATTGCTTCTTTAAAATAACCTTTCTTTCCAAGTAGAACCTGTTTATAGAATATTTGAAAAGTACTAAAATATTAGAGATAGAAGAAATCTCTCAAATTTTGATGTAGTTTCTGTTTCTGTGATAGGTAAAATAACATTGTATGCACAATCTAAATCCAGCTTCTGAAGTATTTTAAGTTGAGTGTCTCCACATTCAATTACATAGTGAAGCAGAGGTAGGAAAATATAACGCAAAAGCTCAGGTTCTGATATCAGATGGCCTGAGTTTGCATCCAGGACTTTAATATTTGTGTTATTCTTGATTGTACCCAGAATTTATTCTTAAAATAAGGTTAATTAACTCCTTGGGTTGTGATGATTAAATGAGATAATCTGTGTCAAAATCATACAGCAGAGCAACAGGCACAAAGCAAAGCACACCAAAAGTTACTGGTTATAACTTTCTCAGAGCCAATATAAGTTTCCTGCACCAGAGTTAAGATGAAGTTACATCTCTAAAAGCACATGCTTTTGACAAAGACTCTACAAGGCACCAAACAAAACAAACACAAATTGCTGAATTTAGACATATTTTTTCATATTTCAATGTCATGACTTTCCATTGTAATGACTTGTTAATTCCTAGATAAATCCAACATCTGTTTTCTCTGATTCTGTTCCTGTGCCACGAAGGGGGGGTGGGGGTGGAAATCATGTAATCAGCAGTACTGACTGCTGCCAAAGCAAATGTTTTCCTACATAAGCCAGATCATCCATCAACACTATTCAGCAATTGTCTTAATCATTCCTGGTCCTACTCCCTGTAATTCTACACAGCATCAGTGGTAGACAGTCTCTAGGATGTCCTTCAATGAACCTGGCTCCTGGTATTCATGCCCTTGTGCTCCTGCCTTCCACAACAGGGCTAGTCTACATAAACACAAGGACACTGCAGAAACAACAGTGTGTGACTTCCAAGTATGAGTTACAGAAGATTTTGCAGCTTCTACCTTGTTCTCTTAAACTGTCAGCTCTGAAAAAGCTAGGCCCCATGACATCAGGACGTCAATGCAGCACATGGGAGTGTCAACCTGGGAAGAAATTGAGAGTTCCTGCCAATAACCAGCATCAACTGAGAAACATATAAATGAACCATGGTGGAAGTAGATCCTCCAGACTCAGCTGGACTTAAAATGACTTTAACTCCTGCTGTCATTTTCACTAGACCTTAAGGAAAACACTGAATCAAAACCATGCAACTATGCATTTCTGAATTCCTGACATAGAGTTACACAGTGAAGCAGAGGATAATAAATGCTTATTTACTTACTATGTCCCACACTATGTCCCAACATTCACTATTCAGGCACTTTTAGGTGCTGGGTTTTTGTTAGTAGAAGAGACAGAGGCACAAAAAAATAAAAAAAAAATATATAATCACAGAAATAAATACACAATTAAAGTATGTGAAAATGTGCCATAGTAAGAACAATTACACATTCTGTCGTTTTCTTCTCCTATTTATTCAAGCTATTGCAGTTTTGCTTCTGCTCCTCCCAAATGATAAATTGCTCTTTCAACAATAACTTCCCAGAAGTCAGCTAATTTAGATTGGAGAAGCAGAGAATGTGTGTTCCTGAAAGTGACAATATCAAAAATAGGAGGGTTTTACACACAGATGTCAAAGTAAACCTAGGA